TGGATGGATGGATGGATGGATGGATGGATGGATGGATGGATGGATGGCTGGATGGATGGATGGATGGATGGATGGACGAAGGGATGGATGGATGGATGGATGGATGGACGGATGGATGATAGGTAGGTAGATAGGCAGACAGATAATAGGTGTTTGTGTGTGAGAGAGAGAGAAAGAGAGAGAGGGAGAGAGAAAGAGAGAGAGAGAGATTTGAGAGGAAAAAAATGAGCCAACAAAAGTTTGCTTCTACAATCATTTTCTGCATTCCCAGAATACTCCTGTTTGTTTAGGAAGAGATTAATAGCCTCTGGTTAATGCTGGGAATGACATACAGAATATTAATTAGAGTAATTTTCTATGATATGCTTATTGGAAATGTATAACATCAGAGAAAGGAAAATAAATATTCATGCATTATTCATAATGCCTTTGGTATGTCTGTGAATAATATGGTAAGATATTATATATAGTTCTTTAAAGATACCAGCATGGAAATGAGTCAAGGCATTTCCAGGTATCCATGGTGAAACAGCACGTTCTATGGGTTTCAGAGCTGTGTCATATGTTTCACTTTGTCATTGTGGCTTTCTGAACTCCATCAAGGACACCGGTGATTTATCAGTGCTGCTATGGTTAAGATGATGAACTAGGAATGGAGAAGTCATAAAATTGTAAGGTTGGAAGGGACCATGGAGGTCTTCTAATCCAACCCACTGCCCAAGGCAGGAATTCTTGTACCGTCTTGGACAAATGGTTGTCCAATCTTTTCTTGAAAACCTCCAATAATGGAGCATCCACAAAGCTGCTCCACTGCTTGACCGGACCTGATTTTTTGGGGGGCAATTTTTGCAGCAGCTGTTAAACAAATACTACGGTTGTTACCTAAGCACAGTGGTCATTAAGCAAATGTGGTGGTTGTTAAATAAATCAAGTTTCCTCAATGGGAATGGCTTTCTTTTTAAATTTTGCCAGAAACTGGAAGTAAATTGTAGAAACCAACCAACCAAAAATAAAAATCACACATTACAGTCCTGTGACCTCTAAAGGTGAGCCTGTTGCCAAGTGCCCAAAATATGATCATGTGACCACGGGTGTGTGTGGCCATTGTAACTTTGAAATGGGTCAGCAGTAGCTCTTGGAGGTGAGGGTCTTCAAAGGACCATTAAGCGTGTTCTTTCAGTTTCCATCCAGCAAGGATGAGTTTCTTGTGACTTCTCTACAACATCCTTTGAACCTTCCTTCTGGTTGTTTGAAAGGCAATATTACTGCCATTGCATATCGTTTAAAAAAATATTCCTATCTTCTATGTCCTGAAATTAGTTTTGTCCTTTAAATCAGTGATCCCCAACCTTTTTTACGCCGCGGCCCGGTATCCCCAACCTTTTTTATGGCGCGGCCCAGTACCGACATCAGCTGGGCACCGCCATCTTGTTTTGATGAAAAAGTGCTTCCGGTGAGCTTTCTACCCGGAAAAGCTCACCGGAAGCACTTTTTCATCAAAACAAGATGGCGGCGCCCAGCAAGCCAGCAGCCCGGTAGGACTTGTTCCACGGACCGGTACCGTTTCGCGGACCGCTGGTTGGGGACCCCTGCTTTAAATCTTCCCTGTTTTCTTATCACAGTTTGTAAGGCTGCTGCTCAGTGGTGGGATTCATTTTTTTTTTTACTGCTGGTTCTGTGGGTGTGGCTTGGTGGGCGTGGCAGGGGAAGGATACTGTAAAATCTCCAGTCAGAGGTGGCATTTGCCGGTTAAACGAATTATTCAAAATTTCCACTACTGGTTCTCCAGAACTGGTCAGAACCTGCTGAATACCACCTCTGCTGCTACTGAATCTACAATTATACAGTAATGGCAGAGACCTCGATGTAAGTTTCCATTTGATAAAATAGTTGATGAAATTGTTTAGCAAGTACACAAAACAATCTTTACAGTCAGAGGGAAAAAAATCAACTATTTTTTCCCTTGAACATTTCTGACTATCAAAATTGATCAAGAAGCCTGCTTTAATACCCCAATTTTCAAAAAAATATCTGTTTTTCATTACAATTATCATTTATCAACTAATTAAAACAAATCTGAACAGCTGTGTAGATGTGAAATGTTATTCACTCTGTAAATTTACCCCCAAAATAATGTATAATAAATATAAGACTTCAGAAACTATGATTAAATTGAAGGTTGAATGCATTTTCCCACATCCCCATCATGGTGTGTGTTCAGATTTTCAATGCACCAAGAAAACATTGCCACAATTTAAGTTTAGCCATGATTTAGGCCTATATTGATCAAGTGCTGGATATGTAAGGAACCCATAATCTGATGGTCAGAAAGATATTCGCTTATTTTCAATGAATTCAAAAAGTGTTTTGGTGGATTTAAGTTCAGACTGTTTTGTACATTCATCCCATTACAGCTTATGACCAGAGGTGGTATTCAGCGGGTTCTGACCAGTTCTGGAGAACTGGTAGCAGAAAATTTGAGTAGTTCGGAGAACCAGCAAATACTACCTCTGACTGGCCATCTATTCTCTGCCTCCCATGTCCCAGCTGATCGGCTCGGTCTTCTTTTGTTGCCCTGCACAGGAGAACGGAGCTGGGAAGCAGATTAGTGGAGTGGGGAGGAGATTTTGCAATATTCTTCCCCGCCACAAGGCCACACCCACCAAGCCACACCACGCCCACCAAGCCACGCCCACAGAACCGGTAGTAAAAAAAAAATGAATCCCACCACTGCTTATGACCAAGTGTTTGGGTCTGTGCTGGGCTTCACATTATACATATGTTCTTGATTTTTGCATGCTTCTAAGCATTGTAGAATTCATTCTTGGATTATGAATTGAGTCGAATAATAAAACGAATTATTTTGGTTCTCTTTTTCATTGTCTTCCAAGGAAGCCTGCCAATTAAGTTACTTATCATTTCAATTAGCAGAAACATGAATCTATAAGAGAAATACAAACTCTCTTTGTGATGTGTGTATCATTACCCCCTTCCAGAAGATTTAACTTTCACCATCCATCCCATTGCCATTTTATCAACTGGTAGTTGATAGGAAAAGCTGGCTGAGATTTTGCCTGCTATTAAGAGCTGGGATAAGAAATGGATGCTGTAACCTTTCATTTTGCAGTCTGCACACCATCACAAGACTGATGCCCAACTCACAAAGCAGACCTGGGAGAAATGTGCTTTTTTTTTTTCACTCACCCTTTGGCCGGTGTTGCTATGCCAACGTCAGTTAGTTTCATTCCTACACCTGAAAAAAACAAATAGCAAGCCAGCATTACCACAAAGTAGATCAGGTAAAGAAACATTTAATACATCAATGTCATTTTAGTGGTTTTGCTACTGAACACAGATGCTATCCATCTCTTTTTATATATGATATATCAGTTGTCTAAAATATTTAATTTCTCCAGGGCAAGCAATTTGTTTTGCTCTCAGTTTAGTGCTTGGCAGAAAAAAAAAAAGCATGGAAGATGCATTACTTGGGGCGAAAAACAGAAGCCATATAAGTTATAGTTTTGGAGACTGGTGTACATCTACCTTGTTCTATACGTCCTGTCCTGGATTTTATAGAGGTGTTTTATGATTTGTGATGGCTGGATGCACTGAATAGTTTCCTTGCAATCTTATTTATAACTTTGGGAGCAAATCCATGTCTATTTGAAGACTACTGTCATGTTTTATTTACTCAATATCTTTTATTTAAGGTCCTACTGTCTAGAGCTGCTACTGAACCCAGTTTCCATGCAGTGTTGGCACTTCTCCTACAGCTTTGGCCTCCAACCTTTGCTGCTTCTGGGATCCAAGCAGGTCCTTGACTAACTTATTTTTGCCAAAACTGTATGATAGCTATCTCCATTGCCCTTATCTTTATGTTCATGCATATATTGGTTTTTCAATATGTGCTCAAAGTAGTGTCAGCTTTGGAAGGCATATTTTATTTAGAAGCTCAAAGCTGCCACATTTTAGTGCCTGGGAATTTGAGAGGGGGGATTTCATAGAGTGGTAGAAAGTTAGACTCAACAACATTCTTCTCATAAAGTTAAGGATAAGTTAACCTGCACCTGGGAAGGAGTGTCTGAAGGAATGTTGGGATGATGGTTGGTTGGGCCATGTGATGTATTGATGGGTGCAGGGGATGGGTTTGTGAATTTCAATTGGGAAGGGAAAACCAGGTACTCTCAGATTTGGGTTTTCCTAGATGTGCCAATATGACTTCTTCAATAAATCCTTACTTTGTTTCGAGTGCTGAATGAAAAGGGGAGTTTCATTGGAACGCTGACAAGTAGCTTAAGACAAGAAAATGATGAAGTGGTTAGTCTCAAAAGCATAGCCCTCTCACAGTGCCATGACTATGTCCTAAAGTCTCCAAAATACCAGAATGAAGGACAGAAAGTATGAGACCACTGCAGACAAGAGAGGCAAGGTGGAGAAGCAAGGAATGGATAAGCAGAAGAAAAAACTAGGGCAGGTTGGTTCCACAGCCCACCAACAAGACATAGCAGTCGCGCTACTGCTTGTTTCACAATAGGTAAGAAGGGAATTAACAAAGGACCATCTTGAATTTAATGCATTATATTAAGCCACTCTAGGAATCTATCCCAAACTCATTCACAGAATTTATTTCCATGTAAGCATGTATAACACTGCAGTGTGGTTTATTGCACACTATTTACAAGCTGCCCTGAGGAAACAGTTTGGAAGTGCAGGATCCCATTTCTAACAAACAAACAAACAATTGGCACATTTAAACTTGTTAGGTTCTTGGTTAGGTTCTTAGGTATTCTTGAAGACATTTCATTACCAGGCTAGGAAACATTATCAGTGGGTGGAAGAGAGGAATTTACTGGTTGTTTAAGTAGCCCTGCCGGTTTCAGTTGGGATGTATGTTTTTTTTTCTTGGTGATTTTATGATCACAACATTGATTCCTCTCCAATTCTTTATCTGATTCTTTGGGTTTTAGTTGCTAAAGAGGATGCATTCTAGATTTATTTGTGAGAAATATCTGCAAGAAAACAACTGTCTGGCATAAGGAAACCAAAAACAACATGATGAATTACTCAAATTACTTTCTTTATTGCTGAAGACCACTCATGCATCATCACAAAATCTCCAGAACTATAAAGCCTACAAACTTGAAATTTGGCACTCCTCAGCATCAGAGTGTGTTAATAATAATATACAAAATACTAATGCTCTGATGGTCGTTTTGAAAAATTCTTTCTTAGTGATCATCAGAGCATTAGTATTTTGTATATTATTATTAACACGCTCTGATGCTGAGGAGTTCTACTCCCCCACCTGAAAAGAAATCTGTTCCAAATGCAAAACACAAGCAGAGGAGAGGAGTTTCAGTTTCATAGCAGCAACCAGCTTTAGTCCAGAACAGTTGAGCTAAGCCACGCCCAGGCTCCTTGCTGTCTCCTTCTTGCTCACACAGTAAATACTGCTTCACTTTCCAAACAGCCCTCAACTCTCTCACACACGGACAGGATGCTAGCCCGGTGAATACCAATGAATGCTGATAGGCAGAGGCAGAATTTTTTTCTTTATTTCCTTCCCCCAAAACTAAGCCCGATCACATAGTTTTGTAGCAAAGCGCGGGTGTCCAGCTAGTTATCCAATAAATGCTGTGAAGAATTAGAGAGGATATTTTCTGGGTCTTTTTCTGCATAACAATAACTCAACATTGATCTGTCTCTTCACTCCTTCATCCTACAACTCAGCACCAGATTCCATGACAAAATAACCCAGCTCTGAGGAGACTAAGAACTTGACATTCAACTCTGAGCTACACATCTTCTCTGCCACTGAAAACATTTAAACCTCTTGATAGACTTCCACCTTCATGATAAGTGATGCTAGAGTAAACAGAAGACTCATTCCCACATCTCCTAAACCAGGATCATCCAAAGCACAGAGAATGGTGGATGCTGTATCTCTCCCACTTCAATATATTGGATACACATAACTGTTCTGACCCATGCCCCTTTCCAACAAATCAAATACAATCCAAAGGGAACAGAAACCTTGTAATGCTTTTACAAAACAATTAGCTGTGATAAACACAAGCCTTGCCAAACTGTGCGAAACTTGCCAAAAGATAACAGACAAGAAATAATCTGCAAAATAAGAATCTTCAAATACAAACTCAGGATACTGAAATGTCCATGAGGCTGTAGTTTCAAAACGTCTTTGCCTTCTGCAAAGAAGGTTAGTTTCATAGCTGGCTTTTATCTTCTTGAAGGGGGGGGGCATTCCCTTGCAGCCTTACTCCCGAGTTGCCCGTGCTGTTGTAACTGCTCTTTCCTATGAGCAATCCTGCGTGCATGCACACTTGGCACAGGCTCCTCGGGAACCTCCTCATCACTGCTGCCAGCCCCCACAATCTCTGAAGGCAGATGGTCCTGGCCCCTCATCTGAGTCCTCACTCTCCTCAGCTGCCCGCACCTGCAGCCAGCTAACCACAACAATAACAATAACACTTATGCACACCCCCTACAGACCTCTTAGGAAAGGGGTGAGGTCAATAGTAGACAGTCTAAGGTTAAAGTTTTTGGGGTTTGGGGAAGAAACTACAGAGTCGGGTAGAGTATTCCAGACATTGACCACTCTATTGCTGAAGTCGTATTTCCTGCAATCAAGTTTGGTGCGGTTAACTTTGAGTTTGTATCTATTGTGTGCTCTTGTGTTGTTATGGTTGAAGCTGAAGTATTCATTGACAGGTAGGACATTGCAATGTATGATTTTATATACCATGCTTAAATCAGACCGAAGACGGCGTAATTCAAGGTTTTCTAGTTCTAGAATTTCAAGTCTGGTGGCATAAGGTATTCTACAACGAGTAGAGGAGTGGAGAACTCTTCTTGTGAAATATTTCTGGACTTTCTCAATTGTGCTAATATCAGATACGTAATGTGGGTTCCAGACTGATGAACTGTATTCGAGTATTGGTCTAGCAAATGTTTTGTATGCTCTAGTTATTAGTGTAATATTATCAGAGAAAAAGCTACGTAAGATTAGGTTAACAACTCTTAACGATTTTTTGGCTATGTAGTTACAGTGGGCTCTATTTCCCCATGTTTTCACAAAACTCCATCTCTTGTGACCTGGTAAGGTTGTGTGTGTGCGGGGGGGGGGGGGGGTTCACAGCTTATGTTACTATGGGCTGATTTTGTCCCACTACAGACCACCAACCATTTCTGAAGGGCAAATAGAATATGGGATGAGATCTTCTACTGGTACTTAGTGCATCAAGAAGACAGGCCCTAACCTGTCTTTTCCTGCTATATCAAAACGAATGTTTTCTGATTTGTTGGCTCAGTGGGTGTTATCCAGTTTGGCCTTGTCCTAACTTTCATTGTAACCAAGACCTCCATGCCAGCTGGTTACTATGCTTAGAGCAGGGGTCCCCCACCCCTGGGCCACATGAGTGGTGGGGAAGCACATGCCTGCATGAAGCTTCACTTGCGTGAGTGGAGGGTGCACATACCTGCCGCTCGAACAAATGGAGTTGTACACATGCACATGCACCTGCCTCCCTCCCCACTCCTCTCTTTCTCTCTCACACACACACACCCAACCCCAGGCCACCAAGTGTTCTGTCCCAAACCCTTTTCCAATAAGACAAACAATAACCAAAGGGAACAGAAACCTTTTAATGAGTCTTACGAATCCCCAGTTAAAAGGCTGCTGCAAACTAATTAACTTTGATAACAAAAACCTTGCCAAAACTGTGCAAGACTGCTAAGAATCACAGATAAGAAATATTTTACAACACAAGAGTCTTCAAATACCAAATTAAGATACTGGAATGTCCACGAGGCTGAGTTTCAAAACGTCTTTGCTTTCTGCAAAGAACGTTCGCTTCACAGCTGGCTTTTATCTTCTTGAAGGAGGGGTCATTCCCTTGCAGCCTTACTTCCGAGTTGCCTGTGCTGCTGTAGCTGCTCTTTCCTGCGAGCAATCCTGCACGCATGCGCACTTGGCACAGGCTCCTCAACACCAAGTTAGAAAAGTTGGGGATTGCTGCTTTAAAGGAACTCCCTGTCCTGCCCTCTATGGCTCCTTTTTCTCCCACCAGTTCATCACTGGAACAGTTGAAAACTATTTTTAAGAGGTTCTCTGATGAAATAGGTAAAGAATTCTGCCACTTTCCCTTTATCGGGAGGAAAACTGGTAACCTCTGCTATTGTCTATATTTCCTGACCAGTAGAGCCAGGAATTCACCAATCAGGACTGTGGTAAATGTGGTCCAACAAACAACCTGACATTCAGAAAGGGATTTCCAGGTGATTTATATATAGGAGACGAGCAGCTTAAGGGTACATGAAGAAGTCAAATGTCTCATTAGGTGGGAGAACTTGGCTGACCTTGTCTGAGCTGTGAAGCTAAGCAGGTCAATTATGGATACTACTTGGATGGGTTTTCCATGTTTGTAAGCTGAGAATGTACTATTGATAACCTCTCTCCATACAATTGTCAAGAAAAGGTCAAGGAGGTGTCCCTGGGGTCACTGGGAATGAAATTCAATGCAAAAGAGTGTTCTTACATGTTATTAAATTGTTGATAGCACCTATGTTGCTCACAAGAGCTGTTGTTGTTATTAATAATATTATTAATATTTTTGTTGTTATTACTATTATTGCTATCAAATATTTTGCTCTTTATACATATGTTCAGCTTCAAAATGTAAAACAAATATATCATTATTTTTTGTAAAGAAGACTTCAGACATTCACAAAAAAACTGACTCTGTCTTAGACTTGTGAACGGGATCCTCAAGCCTGACAATCATGGGACATATTTATATTAAAACCTGAATCCAAAAAATGAAGATTAAGAGAAGTGGCAATTTTAATAGATGTACTGAAGATGTTCACAATCATGCATACCAGTTTGAAGGACTATGGAAAATAGTGGGAACTGCTAATTCATGGAGGGTCAATATGACCCTTGACCACTCTGTGTATATGAAGCCACAGGTGAAGCCTTCAATCATATAATTGTGGCTGCCATGTTGACTGTTTTTACTTCTACAGCCAATTGGTGAACGGCCCTGGTAGGAACTGAATGCCAACTGTCCAGGTTCCATTATGGCAGTCTTTCTCCAACTTGGCAGTTTTAAGACATCTGGACTTCAACTCCCAGATCTGCAATCATCAGTTGAGAATCTGGGTACAGCCAGACACTCACTATTTTTCTGTGGGCCTGTTTGTGGATACATCCAGGGGTGGGATTCTGCTGGTTCGGACCAGTTTGGGCAAACCCCTAGCTCAGATGATCAGCTGGCTCTGAACCAGTTCGCTCCAACGATCTTGTGGGCCTGCCTGCCTGCCTGCCTCTTTGGGGAACTCCCTCCATTTTATTTTCGGGCTTAGTGACTGCCTTAAATGCTGACATCATCATTTGGCTCTTCTGTCGGGTGTTTGTTTCCCCAAATAGATTAGGACTTTATGAAAGGTTGTTTTGTACCATGTAGGAGTTCATATTTCTGGCAGGTCATATACCTGGCAATGTCAAGGCTGTGACAAATCCACCCCCATTCAAATCATAAGTCTCTAGCCACATCTCTCAGAGTAAAAAAAATTGATTTATTAGGAGTGACCATGTTGGCGTTACTTGGATGCAGCTGACTCTAAGACACATCATTCATTTCACCCTTGACCCTGGTCTTCCTCCCACCCCCTGGTTGTATATTCTCCAATGGGACACATCCATAGACAAGAGTCATCAATCATGCTCTCCAGTAATAATCTTGAGCGCCAACAGCTTCGGCTGCCTAGCAATTATCTGAAGCATTTAAGGAATGCACTACTTTCCCCACTCTCTTTCTGCTGGCAACTAAAAAACCAAAGAAGTATTTTTTAGTTAACAGGCAAGACACACTGCAGTATATCTGCTCAGCTGATTCACATGGCAGAGCGGATTGCCATGCCTCAGCTGTGTTCCTTCCCCGAAGTAACATCAAAGGTAAGTAATTTTGAAATCTGTGCATGCAAAGTGCGTGATTAGCGAACCGGCTGTTATATCAGCAGCATCCCACCACTGGATATACCAGCCATAATACTACATTTACCACTAACCACAATATAACAGCAAGATTCTCACCTTGCATATCTGTTACAAGCAAGCTGCCACTGGTTTTTTCGTACACCCAGTGCTGAAACGTGCAACATTTCTGGCCAGCTTCTGAGTCTTTTCTCATGAAATTTATTTCTTTCCCATCCTTAACAGAATATTTCACGAATTCTCCAATGAGTTCCTCTTCCACTGTTGCATAAGGGATGTTATTCTGGGGCCGATGAATAAGGAAAATAGGAATGATTCTGAAAGCAGAACCAGTAAAAAAGAAACATACAGAGTGAAAACTTACAGTCTCAGGAAGAATTTTAGAAAATGTATTTTGAGGACTTACTAAGTTAAAATGTGGGGTATATTCAGTGCTTTAATGGAGAAAACATGCTTCCTTGACTTCATGTGCCCTATCTGACATAGCCAGTAATCAGCATAAAACATCTGTATAGTGAACACCCCTTTATACCAAATGCTTGGCTATTAAGCAGGGAAGGAGGTATTGAGTAGAACAGGGCATACAAAGAGGAGAGGGAGGAGGAGGCAAGAGGGAAGGGAAAGGGGAGGGGAAATGGGAGGAAAAAGGGGAGGGGAGGGAAAGGGGAGGGGAGAGGAAAGGAGAGGAAGGGAAGGGAAGGGAATGGGAGGGAATTAGAAACTGTCTCCTGACACTGAATCTTGTATGTTTTCACCTCGCTATACATCATTGGTTTCTTCTGGATGGTTTGAGATGTTGAACATTAGGATCTTGGCAAGCAGTACCTTATATTTGAAAGGTATTAATTCATTTATGAGAAAAGTGGAAAAGGGTCATAGCACTGGTAAGCCTGGGACATCAAGGAGCCAATACTGTAAAAACTGTTTATCAGTAGCAAATTTCGTTAGCCCTTGTATGTTGTGTGTACATATAGCAAATACTTCAAATGTATAAATGTAGTTACAGTGATGTGTACACACTGTAAGACCCCCTAAGACAATTCTATCATTAGTCCCCAGTTCAAGCACAATGTGTTTTGATGAGCTGCTTACATTTTTCTTTTAATTTTTCCCGATATACAGTATTAATTCTGTTTTTAACTCCACATTTTCAGTTTGTTTGAACTATTTTTTAAAAAACTGCAGCTTTACAGAGCAAAGACACTTGATCAATCGAAGTAGTCTGGATTATAAAAGGATCAAATATTTTTTTTTAAGTATGCTTGGGATTTTAAAATAAAAGAGCCTAATTTGCAATAATTGAACTAACATACAAATCAAAACACAATTATCCTTTAGCTCTCCATCATCTTATAGATTTCTGTGCGTGGGATGATGATAAATTGAAAGAAAGAGTATACATTAAAAAAAATAGATATCCCAAAAGGCCTATATTAAAACAAACTACTTCTAAAATGTACACATTGGAAAAAATATGTATGTGTGTATGTTTTCAATCAATTTTAAAACGTAGAGAAATGCACTTGGCAGATTTTTTAGTACTGTCAAAGAAGATTGAGATTTGTAAAAAGTTATTTTTAGATTTATTTGTATTTTAATGTTTCAAATTTCAATAAAGGTTTAAAAAATTAAAAAAAAACTTAAGATAGATACACTTGCCTTTTTTTTTTAATCAAATGGCCAAGAAATAAACCTGTCTGTTAAAAACTGTGGATGCTAATGAAAACGAATGAGGAAGCTTAATCATCCCCAAGGTTTCTCTTTTTTTAAAGTAGTGTTTTATGGAACAGAGCAGTCAAAGTGAAAGGTATGGGAATAATTATAGAGCAATAACAGAGTGAATGGCATGTCTGCAGCTGTCCTTGAATCTCAGAGAGATCTGGAAAACCTCTACTCACCATCCAGTCAGAGCTGAAGAAGCTTCTTGGATGAGAAGCAAAATGTCTTCAAAGATAAACCAAAAAGTCCAGTTGCTGCTTTTGGGACAACCATGTCCTGGATAACTGAGAATCTCCATAGACTAGTATTTTTTTTTTACCAAATGTTCTAAAAATTCCATTTCTTGATTAAAGTTGCAGGGCTTAATAATTGGGAAGTTTAGGAAGTTAAAGGCCTCCTACATTTTCTGAATTCACCAAACATGAACACGCCACCAACAAAACAAAACAAAACCAATTTGTCCAATCAAGGCTGTTGGGGGAGGGAGGAATAAATTGTGCGTGTATAAATTTTCCCAACTTTTATCAATAAATTCTCCAAAATAACTGCTTAAGAATAAACACAGGATCTTTGTGGAGAGCAGCTAAAGTGTTAATTTCAGCATCCTCCCTTATCTAACACCAAAGCGTCTTCTAAATGACATCCATCATGCAATGACTCTATTTATTTTTTCCAGGAAGTTGTAAAAGTCAACTCACTCAGGTACTTCTCCAAAGCCTTCAAGAGGTTGTGTTTCGGCAGCATAGATTTTGGCGTATTCTCTTGCTGTGTTCTGAACATAACATTCCTAGGTGGAAGAAAATCCATTGAAAGAAAGACTTTATTTTTATTATATTTTTTAAAATTTGTATGCCACCCATTTCTCTATCAAGTGACTCTGAGTGGCTTACTATACCATAAATAACAGAATAGGATTAAAACGTTAAAACATCAAACATTTAAAGCTAAAACATTACAATTACTATTAAAACAGATAACAGTTAACATTTAGAATTGGAAGGATCTTGTAGGTCCAATCCTTCACCCAAGCAGGAGACCCTACACCATTTCTGACAGATGGCAGTCCAGTCTCTTCTTGAAAGCTTCCAGTCATGAAGTTCCCACAATTCTGAAGGCAACTTCTGTTCCATCGGTTGATTGTTCTCACTGTCAGAAAAATCTCTCCTTATTTCTAGGTTGAATCTCCCTTTGATCAGTTTCCATTCATTACTCCTTGTCTGGCCTTCAGGTGTCTTGGAAAATAGCTTGACCCTCTCTTCTCTGTGACAGCCCCTCAAATATTGCAACAGTGTTATCACGTCTCTCCTGGTCCTTCTCTTCACTAAACTAGTCATGCCCAGTTCCTGCAATCGTTCATTGTATGTTTTAGCCTCCAGTCCCCTAATCATCGGTTGTTCTTCTCTGCACACTTTCTAGAGTCTCAAGATCTAATACATAAAAAAGACAATGCATAGACAAGGTGGAGGTGAGATCTTTACAGCCACCTCCAAAATCTTAAAGGAAGTCAACCCTGACTGCTCTTTGGAAGGGTAGATACTGAAGCTGAAGCTCCAGTACTTTGGCCACTTAATGAGAAGAGAGTACTCATTCAATGGGAGAAGGAGATGGCAGAGGATGGGATGGTTAAATATCCCAAAGGTGCTTTTTTTTTTTTCCCCAAGACGCAATTGGATTTTCTGGTTTGTCTTTGAAAATTTTTCACTTCTCATCCAAGAAGCTTCTTTAACTCTAACTGGAAGAAGCCAGAGCAGAAGCAGCTTCTTGGATGAGAAGCGAAACATCTTCAAAGATAAATCAGAAAGTCCAGTTGCCTTTTGAAAAAAAAACAAACACCTTTGGGACAACCATGACCTGGATGACTGAGAATCTCTATAGACCAGGGGTCCCCAAACTTTGCAACTTTCAGACTTGTGGACTTCAACTCCCATAATTCCTCAGCCAGCTGGGGAATTATGGGAGTTGAAGTCCACAAGTCTGAAAGTTGTCAAGTTTGGAGACCTCTGCTGCAGACAGATGGTTAGATAGTATTATCAAGGCAGTAAGCATGGATTTGGAGGCAGTGGAGAATGGGGGAAAGGGCTGTGCCATAGTCCATGAGGTCCTGAAGAGTCAGACATGACTTTGCGACTGAACAACACCACCTCTAAAATTGGACGCCTCCATTGGGCCCCCAGCTAAGAGCAAAGAGTTAATTAGTTTCATGTATATTTGAACACCCGCTTGTTTATGGAGTAGTGCTATCCACAGAGAGTCAAAACAGGCAAGATGGAGGTCCCAGCATAAGTGAATCACCACCTCTTTGTACATATATGAGAGGAATATGTACAAAGGACATGTACAAATAGTTTTTCCCCCATGCCATCACTCTGCTAAACAACTAATTCCCACAACACTGTCGAACTATTTAGTAAAACTGTATTAATATTCTTCTTCTCATTTTTCCTGTTACCTATCTCCTTTTCTACTTATGACTATCATTTTGTATCTTTATGATTTATATTGTTTTATTTAGTTTCCTAGTATGATTTGATTGCTTATTTAGTATCCTATGATTATCACTAAGTATTGTACCTGACGATTTATGATGAATGTATTTTTATGATGACTATGATCATGATTTTTCACTTATAGCTTTTATGGACGAGAGCTTATGCACCAAAGGCAAATTCCTTGTGTGTCCAATCACACTTGGCCAATAAAGAATTCTATTCTATTCTATTCTATTCTATTCTATTCTGTTCTGTTCTGTTCTATTCTATTCTATTCTATTCTATTCTATTCTATTCTATTCTATTCTATAAGGGGCTCAGTTACTATCACAATGTTGTGACCACCCATCTTGCTTGTTTTGACCTCTCTCCCCCAGGGATATCAATATTGTGATCATCTCAATTATAAGAGGCTCCTGCCTGCACTTACCTGTAGTGCCAATTTGTAATTCTTTTCCACAAGTTCATCGTTATTCTTGGTCCCATACACAATGGCATTGTGCACTTTCAAAACACAGGGGTGACCTGGGCTGAGTGGAGGCACCAAGCCTTGCAACACCTTGCTTCGGAAAGCTTTTCGATGCACCCCTTCCCCGAAATGTAATTCTTCTGTGGTAATCCTTCCGTGCAGACTTTTACTCAAGTAGCTGTCACAGATGAAGTCTTCTTTGAACATCAACTGTAAGAATTCTATTTCTTCCAGGCCTGTGAAATGAGTAAGTACGTGTATGAATCCAAAGAAAGGAAAGGTAGTGTGTTTGTATTGATGGAAGGCAAATGAAGGAGGAAAAAAGATTGTCATACAGCCTTTCTATTATGGGTCTACATTATTTATTTTTTGTATTAGCACTAAAGCATAATTACAACAAACTAGAATGATCTGTATTGGCTTTGTTGCTATCACTAAACCTTCTGCTTCATCTCTGTCTGAATGCAGAATAACAGAGTAAGGACCTTTGAGGTCTACTAATCCAATCCCCTACTCAGGCAGGAAACCCTATATCATTTCAAACAAATGGATAGCCAATCTCTTCTTTTTTAATATAAATTTTATTTGCGTTTTCACAAAAACATAATACAAATAAAACATCTTTTTTTGAGAATAGCATGATCCCGGGTTATTACTTCATACAGACACAAACTCAATAACATATTCATTTTTGTGTTCTATTCCATATCTTATTACTGTTTTAACATTTTCTCCATAATTTTTCCCCTCCCTTGGTTTTCTCAACTTTATTTTTAATTATCTCATATTTAAATTCAATTATATATCTTTTTCTAAATTTCAATGTCTTTCCAATCATTATATTTATACTTTTGTCTGTCCTGTTTCAATTTCATATTATCTTTTCTCATTAAACAAAATTTCCCTTGTAGTTACTAATTGGAGTATGACATCTTTATGTCTTTTAATTTTATCCATTCAACTCTTTTTTAAACTTCAATTTATGCCTTTAAAATTATAACATTCAATATAGTATATAACTTCCAATTGGATTCTGCTTGGTACATTCTTAAAATACACACTATGTTCTTAAAAAATTATATATATATATGACAATAGTAAATAAAAAACTAATTGCATTCCAATTCAATTCTATCGTTACTATTAGTTAGAATCTTAACATCTTTAACATTTCTTTTCAATTGAATATCATACTTCCTTGTGAACACTTATAAACTTTCCATAATTAATTCTTTTTTTCCCATATTTCTTTTCACTTATATTTTTATAAATTAATAATAATTAAAATGTTCCCATCCTTTCCTAATTTCATTCTCTCATTCACTTTATTTCATTTATTTGTTAACAAACATTCCACTGCATTACAATAAGTATTTTATCCATCATTTTAATCATACATTGTTTCATATTTTCTAAAATTATTTTTATTTCTAATATAATCTTATGTACCTTTGCAGAATCCCTTTTTCAATTAAATTTTCACCCATTATCTCTAAATAGGCTTATACTTTCAATCCTTATACCTTTTCCCTGTTTCTCTATATCTTGTTTCTGTCTTTTATAACTTCTTTTCCTTTCCTTCTTCCCCCTCTTCTTCTCCCCCCCCCCTTTTGCCCCCTTGTTTCTCTACTTCTAATTCTCTCTTCTGTGATCCTCCATCTTCTGTTGCTTCCTAATATTGTGATTATTTTTCAAACTATTCTTTTTTTGGTTGTTTTTTCAAATCTTAAACTTTTCACTCTCTTTCCCCCCTCTCCCCCCCCCCCCCATAAAATTACTTGATCGTTAAAGATGGCTTCTTCTTTGTCCCAACCTTCACGTTCTACAAACGTTTCTTGTTGTTTCTCATAGTTCCAGATCTCCATTTCTAAAAATTGAAATACGAAGCCAAAAGAATCTCTTCCTTCTTGTGCATCTTCTTTCTGTTTTTTAAGTTCCATTTTCAGTTATTCTGAAAGTGATGCCATTTTAAACACTTTTAAACAACCAACCGATTAAATCCAATAGCCAAAATTCCAAAAATCACCAAGTAATCCAAATAATCCAAAGCTGTTTCTTCTTGCTTCTTTTTTCCACTTTCTCTTCCTGGGGTTCTATTATTTTGTTACAAAGTTTCAGTTAGAATGTATCTTTTAGGAATCTTGTTAAAGTTTCACTGTAAGTTCCTTTTAGTTCCAGGCAGTTTCTTCCATTTTTCCAGATCCCGCCCTTTTATTCTTTTTCTCTCCTTTCCTGCTTTTAAAGGTTTTTGAGTATCTTTATTATCCCTTTGACATTTTATTTTCAGCTCAAATGCCTATTGATGTCAAAGTGGACTTTTGTCAATTTCTTACTTAAATCTCTTAGCTGTCAGTATAAGGAAGGGAAGAAAAAAAAGTCAAATCCTTTCCCTTCCCTCTCTCCTTTGCTGCTTCAAACTCTTCTTTGGGAACAATGTTATTTTTTATAGTTCAAATTCCAGGGTACCTTACATTGTTGCTTTTTCAGTTTAACCTGGTCAACCAAAACTTTCTCTTCTTATCTTCCTCCTGCACATTCTTTTCTGGTCGAGTTCTTCTTTGAGGTGGCCATTTCTGACCACCGCTGCAACCGCCTTTGGGAAAGGGAGTAATGGCCAGCTGAGAAGGAGAGATGCGGCTCTTCTCAACCCTGCTGGTGGTCTCCCCCCTCTTCACCACTTCTATGGGATGGCTTAGCCCCAAATCCAGCTGGCTCGGGGTACTCCAGTGGCGAGCACGGATCAAAATCCACGATCGCGGATTTCAGTCCATCGCCGAAGGAGCTCAAACCGAAGTCGGATATCCAATCTCTTCTTAAAAACTTCCAGTGTTGGAACACCAACAACTTCTGGAGGCAAGTTGTTCCACTGATTAATTGTTCTAACTGTCAGGAAATTTCTCCTTGTTTCTCTCCTTGAATAGTCTCCATCCATTGCTTCTTGTCCTGCCTTTAACTGCTTTAGAGAAGAGCTTGACTCCCTCTTCTTTGTGGCAACCCTTTAGATGTTGGAACACTGCTATCATGTCAACCCTAGTCCTTCTTTTCATTTCTTCTCTCCCTCCCTCTCTCTCTCTCACACACACATGTTCCTTTAATATTGCAATGTAGGTCAGAGCTACCCATCTTTTTTTTCCCTGGCACCAGAGGTGGTATTCAGCATGTTCTGACCATTTCTGGAGAACCAATAGAAGAAATTTTGAGTAGTTTGGAGAACTGGCAAATACCATCTCTGACTGGAGATTTTACAGTATCCTTCCCCTGCCATGCCCACAGAACCAGTAGTAAAAAAAAAATTAATCCCATCACTGCCTGGCACTACGTATATAGAGATAGTACTCATGTAGTGACTGCTTTCTTTAGCAATCATTCACAGTTGCGATGTTGGTGAAAAGGTAACTTTAAGACCACTCCTTGTATTTATGACTGTCACAGGTCAATGAAGTAAATCAGGGCTGTCAAACTCCTGGCCCATGGGCCAGATGCATCATGTGCTGGCCACATCCATGCCCTGTTTAGCAAAGGGGGGAAAGTCCCGATATGTCACGTGATGCCACCATGATGACGTGTTTGACATCCCTGAAGTAAATGAAAGATCCAGCAAGATCGTAAGCACAGTTGCAGTTACACTTAGCAACTAGGCTTAATTGCGAAATGGCCAGTCACAATTGTGGTCACTAAACAAGTACTACCTGTATAAATAAATCTGTCCCTCTGTTAGATGGGCAAAGATTCTAACCTTCCCTATAGCTGTCTTTCCATGCAGTTCTTCCTTCTCAGTCTTTTCTTCCTTCTCAGTCTCCCCTGCCCTCTAGAGTTCAGAATAAACTGGACCCTGTATTATTAGGCTTCGATTAACAGCTTAAGGACCAAACACCATAAAGTGTCAAAGCAACCAATCCAGAAGAAAAAATCAAAGGGAAAATACATTGAAAGGGAACTTCAACAAGCTAATATGAGTTTTCAAATTGTTCTTCCTGTTGCTGATTCTCATGCTTCTTGAAAATGCATAGTTGAAGCTTGAAACATTTGTGGTTTCTGATAACTGAAAAAGGTCTAAAAAAAAACTCCTAATAACTAGAGCCCACCCTTAAGGATTGTTCATATGATTTTGTTATTAGTTTTCTATTGTGGCAGCATATTCTTCTTCTTGTACTTCTGTTGCTTAGCTGACTATATGTACCAATAGAAATAGGTATGTTATTCAGGCTGAATCTAATACAGAAGACCACTGAAATTGATGGAACTTATTTCTGAATTGGGATGCACTGTGATTAGCAGGAATATATGGGCATGGAAACTATCTGTAAACATGTTGACAATTATGTAGAAAGGAAATCTGTTAAGCTTTTCATTTTCAATGTCAAAACAAAACTTGATGGATAGATAATTATAACATACAAAAATTGATAACTACAATTTACAATATAATTAATTAGCTGAAATGAACTGAGATTGACCTATGGAGTCCTTAATAAATTAGTCTACCATAAAATTTGTTCTGGGATTAGGGTAGTTCTTACTTCTCCTTATCATTTTATGTTGCATTATTCCAACAGAATAAGTCACACCACAAATCTCACAATAAAGTAATAGAAATAATGAAGCCTTCCATCAGGTGAGTTAAAGAAAAAACTGTCTATTTCACTCATATTATCCCCAAGATGAGAAAAAAAATACAATAGATTTCTTATTATATTTCCTAGATCTATTTATTATATATATTTTATCCATAGCTCTTTTCAATACTCTTTTGATTTAATTTGCAATAAGTTAACTTTTCAGAGGTATCTCTGGAGTGTCAAAAAAAACCAAACACGATAGCAGTACAGCCATGGAATCAAAGCTCCACTATTTTATTATATGCCATATGTGTGCAACACATGTTTTAAAAAGGGTTGGGGCTTTGATTGCATGGTCATAGTCATCAAGTTGACTTTTTGACCTCTCATAGGGACATCCCTTACCCTTCTCCAACCTGGATGTTGGATTTCAACTCCCTTATCTCCAAGTATCCATGGTCAATACTGGAGAAATTGAAGAGAATTGTAATCCACTCTATCAGAAGGACATGTGGGTGGGATGCAGACATGGAGAGATCATCAGAAGAACTTGGTTTCTATTTCTATTCCTGTAGGAGAATCACGTCTTTCATGCATCCTAAGAAACTAGCTATGCATTAATTACATTGCTGTTCTGGTCAACAGATATAGCTTTCTGGACAGTTTATAGATAAATGAATTCACCAGATAAGTGTGTGGAAACATTTACTATGTTAAGAAGAATACCAATTTCTAGTTTCTCATATGTTATGATACCACCTCTTATGTATACATGGGTGGCAACCTGCATAGTTCTTTTTGGAAGGACCCAAGAATCGTCTCTGAACATCCCTCTGAAATGTGATAGAGCACTGGCCAAAATTCCTCATATTTTGAATCAAGGATGACTAGAAAGTTGTAGACTAAGTCTTCTCCAAAAGACATATAATTTCTACTCCCTATGACTCCTTGCTTCCGAGAACTTAAAAGGGACCATAATCAACAGTGATTATTACTTGCAACTATCTCGTTGTGCTAGAAGAGTTATCTTCTCTTTAACTTACATACTATTGCTACACCAAATTCCCTTTTAAGAGCACTCAACATGGATCACATCTCAAGACTGAAAGTACACGAGGAAACATTTGCAGTTAGTAAATGAAAAGCCATGCACCTGTTTTAAAAGGAATGGAACAATTAATCCTGCTTCTTAAGGAGTCAGGACAAGTCACCATTCGGTTGATTGAATGAGCAAAAGTTGAGTAACACGTTATGTACGGCATTGACAAAATTTGTTGGCCAAAGCGTTATCTATGTTTAGCACAGACACTGCAGTCCACATACTGATGTGATTAAAGAATCAGGAACATATGAGGAAAACTTTTCATAAGGTAATTCTTTGCTTTTTTCTTCGGACAGACAGAAAGTCTGTAGAGATTCTCAGTCATCCAGATCATGATTGTACCAAAGGTGTTTTTTCAGGAGGCAACTGGACTTTCTCATTTTTCCTTTTGAAGACATTTCACTTCTCATCCAATAAGCTTCTTCAGTTCTGACAGGATAGTGGAGAAGGGAAGGATTTATATCCCTTGCAGAAAGCCGGTCATTTGCATCCTTTTAGGGGGTAGTTGAAGCACTAGGAGGTTTATCTGTGTCCTCGGGGTCAACAGAGTCATGCTCGTGGTTCCTGTACCCTGCCATTTTTTTCTTTGGAAATCCATTCCTACTCCTACACCATTCAAAGGATGTTCATCCCAAATTGTATAGCTAAAAGTCTATACAGGTTCTCAGTCATCCAAGTCATGGTTGTCCCAAAGGTGCTTTTTCAGGAGGCAACTGGACTTTCTTGTTTTTTCTTTGAAGTCATTTCACTTCTCATCGAAGAAACTTCTTCAGCTCTGACAGGATAGTGGGAAACCTCCCAGTGCTCCAATGACCCTCCAAAAGGATGCAAATGACCAGCTGTCTGCAAGGAATATAAATCCTTCCACCCCCTACTATCCTGTCAGAACTGAAGAAGCTTCTTGGATAAGAAGTGAAATGTCTTCAAAAGAAAAAAATAAGAAAGTCCAGTTGCCTCCTGAAAAAGCACCTTTGGGACAGACAGAAAGATTAAAATGCAATCCATCCGTTTTTGAACTATTGGTACATTTTAACCATATTTTGTGGAAACCCACCCCCCAGGACTCAAAAGTTGGTGGGCAAAGAGCTATCTTTCTCACCCCTGCTATTGTAGAAAGTCATGGTTGTTTGCTCACCAGAGGATCAAGCCAACCTCAAGGATCAAGCCAAAATGTGTACATGTAAAGTAACTAGACTCAACATAGAACCTGAGTCGCAAGCCTTAATTCATGTTCATTCAGGGCCATCTCCTCCTCCTTGTCCTTCTCTTCCTCCTTCAAAAGGCAAGTTTGCTGTTTTAAGTTGGTAAATATTTTATATCTCACATTGCTGGAAAACCCATAATTTAGTTTGGGAGAGAGCCACTATACGCAAATCAATGATTATAAAATTTTTCTCTTCAATTTCAGGAGGAGCCTGAAGTTCAGGTTTCCTTTTTTTCAGTGAAGTGTCTAAAAGGCTCTTCATTCATGGTCATAGTAAAAAGGGTTTTCTGATGTTGTAAGCTAAACTAACAGCTGATTTCAGGTGAATGTGGCATTATCCTTTAGTCTTAATCAGGGGTCTCCAAACTTGGCAACTTTAAGACTTGTGGACTGCAACTCCCAGAATTTTCTAGCTGGTTAGAGAATTCTGGGAGTTGAAGTCCACAAGTCTTAAAGTTGCCAAGTTTGGAGACCTCTGGTCTTAATTACGAAAAAACTCTTTTCATAAAATGCTCTTTTTCTTTTTAAGAATGAAGCCAAACAGTACAATTAGAGATCTCATCTTTAGAATCAATTGGCTCAGTGTTGACAGGCAGATCCTCAGCAAATGCCCACATGGATCTTAACTTATTCCATACCATTTTTCTTGTTCCAGAAATAATTATCATATATTTTGGAGTGAAACATTGATGCATCCCAGGTTCAATTTGTCAAGAATCACACAAAACAAACAGTTTGAATATAATTTAGCATAATTCTGCAAGAGTTTGTACAGAAAATCAAACAAACACAGTTTTACCTTCAGCATCCTGAAGACTGGACAGATGTTCCAAAACTGTAGAAAGATGAAAAGAAAGATATTCAGAATGTAGGCTATACGTTGTTAATTGCAGTTGTGTTTTATGTCTTCTAAGGAAGAATTCATCATATGTTACCTTCAGAGGTCAGGTTAAATTCTGAAATGGCTTTTCCATGTATATTCTTCAGGCAGCAATGATACAGGCCTTGGTCTTTTTTCCCAGCTTGAACTATTGCCAGAGACACTGGAAGGTCATCTCTTGCACTAGAAAATACATCAACGTTTGAAAATTCATATTTTCAAAAAGCCAAAACACCACTTCCTTAATTTTTCAGAGGTGCATGTGTTTTAGGTCGGCGGTCCCCAATCTTTGAAGCTTGGCAGCTCAGCTGGGGGGGAGGGGAACTGGGCCATGTGAGCATTGGCGTAGCTTGTCAACTTGTAAAGCATTCCTATGCCTATTTCCGAATTGCCATAAGCAGTGGGGGAGACATGAAGGAGCAATTAAAACCAGACGTGCATTCCACACTTATCTTACAAAGATTGTTAGCCTAAGCTACCGGATCTTCTGCCCATGAAAATCCTTCATTGGGGAATGTGATTGATGACACACAGCCCATGAAGAATCTGATTTATGACACGCCCAGGGGGAGGGTGGAAACAGGGTCACAGGTGACTGTAAATTACGTGTGGCAGAGTTGGCTTCATATGGGTCAATGACAACATGTTACTCCTAATAAATATTTTGGATTCTTTTGTAGCTTGGCTCGAGGTTCATCATTTAATTAGGGCAATCGCCAGAACCCTGACACAGTGTTTGTGTGAGTGGTGGGCTAGGGCACACACACACAGCGCTTGCACAAGCAGTGGACTGGTGTGAGCAGCGGGCCAGTGCACAAGAATACCTGCTGGCCCTCTGCTCCTGCAAGTTGAGCTGCGCGTATGCGCTTGTGCACTTCAGCCAGCCACTCACACGGCCCAATTCCAAATAGGCCATAGCCTGGTAGTGGTCAAATGGCCCTGGGGTTGGGAATCCCTGTTTTAAATCATTAAAAGTGTCTTCCTTCCCCTTTATTTGATTAATAGGTAGTCCTTGACTTCCGACTAGTCGTTTAGCAACTGTTCAAAGTTATGATGGACTGTGAAAAAGGAACCGTATGACCTGGATTTGAAGCTCTGACATCTGCCAACACCCCTGCTGTCATTTTACCACATGTTGGGTGCTCCATAACCAGCCTGCATTTATGGTTGTTTGCACTGCCCCAAGTCATGTGATCACAATTTATGATTTTTGCCAAAAAACTGGTATTTACCAAACCCCAATAGTTCCACATTTAATTTGAATACGGCCAGCTTAACACACCAGTTAGTTCTCTAAAAACCACTCTATTAACTGTATTTTTTCTATTTTTGTACAAATCAGGTATTCTATGAAGAACGGTTGCAGGAACTGGCTATGTCTAGTTTGATGAAAAGATAACATTACAAGAGCACACAATAGATACAAACTCAAGGTAAACCACACCAAACTTGATTGCAGGAAATACGACTTCAGCAACAGAGTGGTCAATGTCTGGAATACTCTACCTGACTCTATGGTTTCTTCCCCAAACCCCCAAAACTTTAACCTTAGACTGTCTACTATTGACCTCATCCCTTTCCTAAGAGGTCTGTAGGGGGTGTGCATAAGTGCACCAACGTGCCTACCGTCCCTGTCCTATTGTTTCTTTTTATTTTTCTTATATGTATCCATTTCATGTATTCATAACTATGTTTATACTTATACCTGTTATCTTATAATCACTTGACAAAATAAATAAAAAATAAATAAGGACTAGGGGTGACATGATAGCAGTCTTCTAATATCTCAGGGGCTGCCACAAAGAAGAGGGAGTCAAGCTATTCTCTAAAGTGCCTGAGGGCAGGACAAGAAGCAATGGGTGGAAACTAATCAAGGAGAGAAGCAACCTAGAACTAAGGAGACATTTCCTGACAGGAAGAACAATTAATCAGTGGAACAACTTGCCTCCAGAAGTTGTGTGGGCTCCATCAGTGGAGGTTTTTAAAAAGAGACTGGACAGCCATTTCTCCAGAATGGTCTCCTATTTGAGAAGGAGGTTGGACTAGATAGAAGATTTTCAAGGTCCCTTACAACTCTATTATTCTATTCTGTTCTATAAACCATAACATGATTATTAACTTCTTTTGGATTAAATGTTATCTGCCTATGGAGAACCAGTCTGAGACTTAAAAATGACGTATGGATGAACAGATACGGTAATATGGTTGGCATTAGAATTTGTAAACCAGGTATATTTAGGTTAATAAATATTGAAAATATAAGGCAGTGTGCCTTATATCTTCTTGTCCTAACCACTACCAGGAGCCTCAGTGGCGCAGTGGTTAGAGTGCAGTACTGCAAGCTACTCCTACTGCAATTTGGCAGATCAAATCCCACCAGGCTCAAGGTTGACTCAGCCTTCCATCCTTCTGAGGTGGGTAAAATGAGGACCCAAATTGTTGGGGGCAATATGCTGACCCTGTAAATGGCTTTGAGAGGGCTGTAAAGCACTATAAAGCAGTATATAAGTCTAAGTACAATTGCAATTCTGCAATTTATAATCGTAACCACAGATGTCCCTATCCACTAGTGGTTTCACAAGAGAAAAACAACTATCTTTACAACCTCAACATGCATAAGAACTATAAGTAAAACATATACCCCTCCCACATCCTTCCTTTCCCAAAAGCTTTGCAAAGCATGTTAATATGTCTTACCTTCTGTGAACTCGAGCAAGAAGCTTAGAATCTTTTGTCCAGGTAATGGTGGAATCTGAATGAATTTCTCCAAACTGGCAACATAATTTGATATTTCCAGAGAAATCAGGAAATAAATCTGCATGGATTTTCCTCAGTAGTTTGGGTGCTGAATATTTTTTTAAAAAATGATGAGTTATTTGGGATGAACATATGTACAGTAGCATTTTAGTGTTAATTTGCATATTATATATAGATCAGTCCTTGAGTCATTTCAGTTGACTATATTGCTTTGGGTATATATATTTATTCCTTAACAATATATTGAATCTAGAGAAAACATTAATATTTT